GGGGGATATTAACGGTAAACAAAACCCAGGGTCGCGGTCTTAATTAAGGGCATAGCCAGCCGCTCTCCTCTTCTCTCCTCCAGTTTGTGGTAAATAAAGTAGTGTAGTGACCATTGGAGGTCGTGGTTGTTATGGTCGTTGTCGCGTGTGACCGAGCGGAGAAGAATGTTGTTGGTGTTTTCCTCGTATCGCGAGCACGGGACGGGGGCTGGGGGCTGTGTGTGGCAGCGGCTGGCGTGGAGGTAGGGTGTGTGGCGGTGCGTGGCGGGGCGGGGCGGGGCGGGGCGGGGCGGTCTCATCCCTCCCCGCGGGGCCTGCTGGGGCCACTTGACTCGAGGACTTGCCCGCCCCACGCATGATAATCGCGCGCTGGTTTGATGACTGCGGGGACGGCCTCCTCCTCCTCTGCTCCTCCTCGACGAGGCCCTCCTCTCCTCGGCGCGGAGAGTACATAGACCCCCGGCGAGGCCTCCGTGCGCAGCAGCAGCCTCTCTGGGGCCGCACGGGCAAAGCAGGCCCGGGGCCCCCTTGCGCGCCGCCGGCCGGGGGCCTCAGTGGAAGTGACATCGGTTGAAGGCAACGGCCCCCGGGAGGGCCCTGCCATCTTGCCGGAGCCAACACCACGACCGGCGCGGCGAGGAGGGAGCCGAGGAGGGAAGGACGTGTTATGCGACTCCGACGTGCAAGTCAGAGTGGCGGGGGTGGCGGGCGGCGGGGGGCGGCGCTCACGTCGATGGGGGCAAAACGTTGAGTGACAGCCGGAGCAGTTTAAGCTGCCGGCCCGGACCATCATCCGTCTTGTGCACGAGGCCGGCTGGCCGGCAGCCGCTGCCGCCTCTGCTGCTGCTGGCCGGGACCGAGGCAACCTAACCCAACGGATGTGACCAGCCCGGGGGAAGAGGGGGGAGGAAGGGAGTGAAGGGGCTGCTGTCTTGCCTCGGGAGCCTGTCGCAGAAGACGACGCAAAGAGCCGTGTGGGGCGTGGCGCGGGGGCTGGGGAGGAGACACACCCTGAATACGGAATCAGATGGCCAGGCCGGCAGGCGCGCAGGGGCGGCGCGGAGCAGCAGCAGCAGCAGGAGGAGGGAGATGGAGGATAAAGACCACGGCCGGCCCGGCGGCGAGAGGGAAAGGGAGAGACGTGGAGATCATCGAGGTCCTGGAGCCCGCCGAGCCCGTCCCTATGGTGGACTGCTGTCTGCAGGTGAGCGCGCGTTCCCCCGGAGCGAGTCACGGGCGT